CTTCACCAACAACAAAACAATTAGCGTCAAATCGTTTACGAACTCGTTTACAACACTACGATGAACCTGTTATTGAATATTATACTGATACTATGAAATTATGCAAGTTAGTTGATCCTAGTATGACTGATGTATCAAAACTTGATCATTTATATCACGGTCTAAAACATTCATTAATGAAGGAAGTTTTACGTCAAAATCCACGAACACCATCAGACTTTTCAGAACATGCACGACGAGAAGAAACTTTGGATCGTCTTGTTGCTACGTCTGTTCATCATACCAATGATATCATCGATACCAATACACCTCATCATGCACCCCTTCATCCTGCACAACCAGCTACACCCATATGGTACCAAACTTCTCCGAACACGTCTTATACTTCGTATCCACCACAAGCACCTCAGTATCAATCATCATACCCTTCAACTTATCAGCAATCATCACTACACAATCATCCTTATATTTCAAACACATCGTTTAATAATTCATATCCTCATCGACGTTTTGTACGATGTTACCGCTGTCACAAGCTGGGCCATATTGCTCGTGATTGCCGAATTGCAAAAAACTAGTAAGGGAGTCACATGATGGTAGTGACTCCCACCCCTCACAACCATCGTTATCTTACTCATCCACAACTCCTGTCTATTCATCAACAAAATACACAACATGTTTTCGGCAAAACTCGTCTTATTATTCTCCTACTCGTAAACCTCCACCAATTAATTATTATTTCAAACAACGTCAAGTTCAATCTCTCGGAACACAGCGTATCGCCAATAAAAATACTATCACCACTAACCCTTCATTAATTTTTATTAACACTCTTATCAATGGCAAACCCATCCGAGCTCTGATCGATACGGGCGCTTCTCATTCATTTATTACACAATGTGCATTACGTGCACTATCTTATTTCCGATTGCCATCGTGTGAACGTGCAGCACAATTAGGTGATGGTCAAACAACACTTAAAATAGTTGGTGAAATTCAGCTGTTACTACAATTTGATCAAGTTTTTACACCTGTAAATGCTCTCGTCACTCACACCATGAACACTGATTTTATACTTGGTGGTGATTGGTGTACAAAAAATAAAGTAAATATTGATTATGCAAAGAGTCAAGTATCACTATGTACAAAACTTGGTCGTATTTTTATCCCGTATGATAAGCACATCGATTATTTAAGTTTAGATGTCAAATCAATCAATGTAATTCATATACCACCACGTGAATCTTGTACTGTTCAAGCCAAAGTTGAATTATCATCAGCTAATACTGTATATTTTTCTCCTGCTGACACCACATCACTTGAAAGATCTGTTATAATGTCACCAGCTTTATTACACGTAAACAACTACACAACCTACTTGGAGATATACAACCCTCACGATACTACATGTACATTACCAATGAATACTCGTTTAGGCCAAATTACTCATACACCACATAAACTTCAATCGTGTGTAGCATATGATCCATCTCGTTGTTCGTCATCGTGGTCGTCTCAACATCATGTCCTTACTACAATCGAACTTAAACAAACACCATCTAACACCTGTAAAATAATTTATCAACTGCTGGATCATATTACCAATTGTCAGGACAAACAACAACTACGTCACATACTTGAACAACACATCAAAATCTTTGATATTTCACATGTTACACAAGCAAATACATCTGTTCAACACATTATTAACACCGGTGATAGTCTTCCAATCAGTTCAAGACCATATCCAAGAACAATCCAACAACGACGTGAACTTCAAGCCGAAATTCAAAAAATGTTACAAGCTAACCAAATTCGTCCATCCATTTCACCATGGTCATCTCCAGTCATTATTCACAAAAAAAAGGATGGTGGTATTCGTTTTTTGGTGGATTATCGAAAACTGAATTCAGTCACAAAAAAAGATTCTTTTCCTCAACCAACAACTGAAGAATTACTGCATCGATTAGGTGGTCATTGCTTTTAATCAAAATTAGATCTTAAATCCGGTTATTTCCAAATACCGATACACGAAGCTGATAAAGAAAAAACAGCATTTATTACACAAGATGGTTTATGGGAATTTAATGTACTTCCGCAGGGCATTATGAATGGCCCACCAACCTTTCAAAGAACCATGCATAATCTTCTTGGTTATGGACGATGGGATTATGTCATGGCATATTTAGACGATATACTCATCTTTTCACGTACTTT